GTCTCTTTCGACAATCGAGGCACGATAAAGAAACGTGGATGTGCTCTAAAAAAAACTGGCTATCCGAGGCGGATTTCACCAAAACCCGCAGTGTCCATTTTAGCTTGCATCGACTTTTACCGCTTGAGCGATTACTTCGATGCACAAAAGACTTTTGATAACGTTGAATTTGTCAGGTGCTGTCAGGACGTTTCGTACTCCAGCAGGGGAAATGTCCGTCAACATACTGGTTCTCACTCGGTGTGGGCTGTGGACGGTGCGTCGATCCATGTGCACCCAGAAATAGTTCACTCCTTCGAAGAATTGGCGCCGTTCCAATATTTTTTACCTGCATACTGCGCACTTTTCAACCCGATCGAGAACATGTTCGTATACATCAAGAAGTCTTCCAGCGCTATTATAGCGAGTCACGAGCTATATTACCATCTGTGGTACAAACATTTCGCTTCTTTGAAAATTTGAATTTGGCGAGTGTGCTCGAGCACTTCGCCTATAAATCTCCAGTGACATTTTGACCCGACGGGACCCATGTCAGTGGTACATTTAGAACATTTGGGATAGAGAAGTGAGGATAGAAGATGCAGAGGATGAATTGGAATTATTGAGAGACGTGGGCTGCTGTAAAAATAGCTGCTACATTCACTTTTCATTGAATGAAGCAGCTATTTTTGGAAGTATTGGTGCTCAAAAATCGGCAATGTTTTCCATATGTTGATAGTGGGTCAGCCACATCAGTTGCTGGGGGTGGTATACTGTTACGAAGGAACGCCTCAATAATTGACTTTCGAGCTGTCAAGGCCTTATCTTGAGAATTCAAACGCCTCACTAAAACTACGACGTCTTGACGTAGCTACTGGCTGTCGGTTATCGATGCATTAACGTAATCAAGCGCCATTCTTTCTGATCGGATCCAGGTTAGCATCTGCTACTCGGTATGAGATTCTGCCATTATCAGAAGGGGTATGATTCAGGCGATAGGTCAGTTTTTGATGTGTTCCAAGTAGGGATGGGTTGCGAAAATAAAATCCGATCGATCGATTCGATCAAATCCGATCATGATCGATTGTGATCCGATTGGCTGATCTATCGATCACTTTCGTTCCGATCGGATTCAATCGGATCAGATCGAAAAGTTCACAGCCTTGTGTAAAAACGTTTTTAGGCCAATATATTTTTATTATAAAAAATCTGTCATCTTTGCTATAGACTCCTAGTTTTTGATACTCCTGCAGCAGGTGTATCAATAACAGGAGTCCCGCATCAATAGCCGAAACCACAGCTGTTAAGCAAGGACAAAGCAGCTGATCCCGTCGAGGCGTTGGAGTCCGCGTCGAATATCAGACAGAAGTGGCGAGCCAATGCCGTGATGTGCTGGTAGACACTGCCAGGGAGGGGTATCACACTTGGACTTGAGCTTCGAGGAGCAGATAGTTCAGGCGGTGAAGTGGTAAGCGGTGGGGCGTACCACGACGGACAGCGCGGCAATGATCTTGAATCAGGTACATGTACAAGTCGCCAATCAAGACTCTTGATGAGCGACTTGTACATGTTCGGCTCGCCATGGACAGCTTCACAACGGGACGTGGAAGTTCCCGGGCACTTCGATGAGCTGGGTGGTGCTCAACAACAAGCAGGCAGAAGTGCTGGTACGACGTGGCTACAGCGTTGCAGGCGTGTCGCCGACGCTGTTGGATATATGCTCATTAATTTTCCGCCGGAGTCTAGCCGCAGACGTAATCGGCGGCGTAGTTTTCGGATGTGTTCCGGGAGTCTCTATTGCTGGTATTCCGCAATAAACGAGATGCTGCACGACGATTTCATGACGGCGTCCCGACGGGTAGCGTAGAGCCACACACAATAAAATTCGTCACTTTCCTCTGCCTTAGGCTCCTACGAAAAACACTTCCTAACAGAAAACTTCTTGCTAGGACTCCTGCTGCAGGAAAACGCATCCTGGAGACGAGCAACACGTACAGTACGACAATATGACCTCAAGTATTTAGACGAACAACACGTACGGTACGACAATATGACCTCAAGTATTTAATGCAGAACGTCATAATCGTTTCATAGAATCGTAAAGGTTTTATATGTCATTGGGTAGACTCTATACCTACAAGAACGTATTCCTTGTGAATCCCAACACAAGGAACTATATCATTTTTGTGTTCCTCCTAGAATCTCATACATTTTTGATTGGATCCGATCGATCGATCAATCGGATTCAATCGAATAAAATCGAAACGAATTCAACCTCGATCGGATTAGTCAGACGAGACATATCGATTGATCCGATTCAATCCATTTCCCAAGCCTAGTTCCAAGTAGATCGGTCGAGATTCCTTGTAATATGGTTACCCCCCATTCCGTCTCACGATAGTCTCCGCCCTGAAACTGGATTCCCAGTGCGCTTGAATTTGCGCCACTATCGCACAAAGGCCGCACTCTGCTGTTTTACCAGCGCGGTCGGTTTCCAACGGGAGTATACGCGCCGCCAAAAACGCAGTTGCCTCCTCCTCAGCGTCAATATCATCCGAATTGACTCGAGATCGGGAGGAGGGACGATGCCCCAAACTCACCAGCAAGCTTGTAGTAGTAGGGGAGCACTTGATGATTTTGCCTAGTAATGTCGACTTGCTTGTGACTCCCAAACCAGTTTGTGCCTGATAATCGATAGCTTCACGAAATTACTTCTGGATGGTGTTTATCTTTTTACGAACGTCGCCCCTTGTGGACACCTGCTCAAAGTATTGTTATTTAAAAATAGCATGTACATGTATTCAACCTTAACAACATATCACGGGTAAGGTGAAGTAAAGTAAACGTTAAATTCCACATTTAGCAATGAAC